ATTAAAAAAAAAAAACACCAACTCATTTAAATGCCTGCCTGCCATTCATTTCAACTCTGAAATACATCTGAGGATCCCCAGATTTTAAAAGGAGAGTCCCACTGAAGACCACCCTCAGAAATCTGGTCCTGAAAGCAGGACGTAAATATTTGAATCACTTAAACACTCACTTGTATTAGAGCTGCTACAGATAATTTTCAAAATAACATCTGGCTTTTCAAAAAATGTAGCTTACAAATACAAGAAACAGAATAGGCAGTCATATGGAACACATACTGTTATGGCACGTATGAGAAGAAGAAAAGTTTAAACACCCCTGTTTAATGAATAGTGGGTTAGAAGTCCTGCCAACAGACTCTTCATATTATTATTATTATTATTATTATTAACTATCATTAGTTATTAGCTCATACATGGCACACTAAAGGCAGAGACATACACCAGTTTACACATTGGTTATATTGTCTACGCTTGTGTTGTATGGTATTATATTTTGTGTTTTGTATTTATTTGGATGCTTTCTATCCAGATGAGCTTCCTTTCTGAATACTGGCCCAAAACATAATGGTTGGGTAGAATTTATTTGATCCTCGATTTCTACTGATTGATAAACAAGGCACTGTTCATCAAATCATCAAATGTCGCTGCTTCTCATCATGTGCTTGCTATATCCCAGTTTCTCCTCTCCATCTTTCGCAGAATCACAGAATGGCAGGGGTTGGAAGGGACCTCAGGAGATCATCCAGTCCAACCACCCTCCTAAGGAAGGTTCACCCAGAGCAGGTTGCACAGGACATCGTCCAGGTGGGCTTTGAATATCTCCAAAGGAGACTCCACATCCCCTGGGCAGCCTGTTCCAGTGCTCTGTCACCCTTAAAGAAGAAGTGTATATGCGCACTTCTGCTTTGGTTTCTTTTTATTTTGATTGCCCAGGTTTTAGGTTTAAGCTTTGTTCTCACTTGTGGTTTTAACCACGTTGGCGATAGCAACCAATGGTCCCAGAGGTCCAGGTCTAACAGATAACGTTGGGCCGATCCAACAATTTGCGGCTGCCCGGAGGGGTAGGGCGG